TACTTCCTTCTGGTATGCCTTTTTGTAATCAAAGAATGTCTAAAGTTATCTGATTTCACACCTGTAGGATGTGTTTGTGCATTGTGGCGATACACATCTAGTAGCTCAAGATTAGATCTCAGGTGATGACAACTAGCGTACTCTAGATTGGGATTTCGATAGCGATGCCATTTCCGGATACTCTTGAGCTCCAACTAGACATTTTTGTTGCAGTTGACTGCAACGTCTTTTTCTCGGGACTTTTGAAATAAAATACTAAGCTCATACACTGCGTTTTAAAGAAGTCGATATGAAATCTCAGTTTCAATTTATGGAGTCGCTACGCGAGGCAAAGCAAGGCAATCTAAATATGCAATCTGAACAAAATGTAGGCGCGTATCTCCAACGATCAAGTCTCAATTATTCATTTTTTCGCATGCAATCCATTCCCCTCTATCTCCCTTGAAGTCATCAATAACTTTTTTGTTCTGCTTCACTCTAGGCTGATGACTAAAATGGAATCTGCTTTTCTCTCGTTTCGTGCATATAATTATGTGGGCGGGATGCGGAAAAGAGGAGGGAGAGGGAGATAGCTCCACCCCTTATCCTTCTGTCGTACGCATCCCGTAGACTACTAATTGCCAATTACTTTCGTTTTACTTTTCTCTAGTCCGAAATGGTAAAGCTGATCACAAAAGTAACGAATTACAGATGTTGCTATTTTTGGCTCTGTTACCTCTAATTTTGGCGGAATCATTTTGGATGACCGCAGAGCTGTTACAAGTGGATTGGAGGGAGGAATGCTTAACTACCGCTGGTTGCTCTCATTCAAGATTCAAGGTAATCTTGAGAGAACTTGGCCTTAAATGTTGAGTTTTGCTTCCGAAAAAGATGTTTTCCAGATCCTCAAAGGTATGCTCCTACTCAATGAGAGAATCTCTATCAGCTGGCCAGTTTCCGAGGATCTTGTGCAGGTGTGCAAATCATTTCCTTTTTCTTTTTCTCAACGAGCAGCGTTCAATCATTTTGTCCCTTTGATCCATCCGCCACTATCTCTGTCACATGCATAATGGCGTCTCTAATTGAGATTAACGTTCCGCATTGCACATTCGCCAGCATTGTTCATGGACTTGTACATCTTTTGTATGCCGACTTTATTATCAGTTTATTACGGTAACACCTGTGAGACTGTTTGCGACAAAAAACTAGCAGATACTGTAGCGCAGAGGATGATTATGAT